AAGACTAACGGGTTTTTTGTTTGTTTGTTTGTTTGTTTGTTTGTTTGTTTGTTTTTGTTGTTCGGTGTTGGGGATCAAATCCATGGCCTGCCCATACGAGGCGAGTGTTCACCATTAAGTGAAACTTCTGACCCTTTAACTCACTTTATGTTGATTTTCATAACGTGTAAGATTCGAGAGAGGGGTCAAATTTCACTTGTTGTTATACACATAGATGCTGAGTTATCTTGGTCACCGCTCTTTGGCTGGGAAGGGCCATCATGACAAAGGCAGCTCTTAGAAAAGGAAGTATGTGGCTGGGGGTTTGCTCAGTCTTAGAGAGAAGTTCATTATCATCACGGCAGGGGCTCATAGTGTCCTCAGGTAGGCTGCTGGGAAAATAGCTGAGAGCTCTATTTACTTCTTGATCTGCAGGCAGCAGACAGAGTGGAGACTGGGCCTGGGATGGTTTGAAACCTTACCGCTTCTCATATCCAATGACGCACCTCCTCCAACAAGCCACACCTCCTAATCACCCAAATGGTTCTACTTCCTGATGACGAAGCATTCAAATATATGAGTCTATGGGGGCCATTGTCATTCAAAGCACCACAAGGTTGTACTAAAGAAACAGACCTTTCTCTGGCATGTTGGCACCCTTGGCACAAAGGCTGTTGAATTTTATTTGGATGTTGGGGTCAGGTACTGAGGGTAGGGGTTGGGGGCATGGCTTTGTTGGTGGAGAGAATGCTGGTTTCTCTCTAGCTATTGTCACCTCTGTGGTTCTGAGATAAGGTGGTACCCCACTCAGGTGATGCCACCTTGAGAGCCATTTAGGTTGACACGGAGACCTGTCTGGACAAAATGACAGCCACTCCATGCAGATGGCAGGAGCACACACCCCATGCGACACTCAGAGGGCAGCTTTGTACAGGACAAAGTCAGCAGTCTTTAGCACTTCCCATTTTCACATCCCATGGGCTCCGAGACTGGCAGAGCCACAGTGATGAGGCCCAGGGGCAGTGTTTCCTTCATTGCTGGGAAAAAGATCGCTCGTGTCTGGGTCCTCCCGTCACCTTCTGAGCTTCCTCCCATCTCCTTCTGAGCTCACCAAAGTAAAATACATCAAGACTCAGCACACATGGATTTCACTGTTGTTGAAAAAGGAGAGAGTTCTGAAGCTAGAAGCTAGAAACCTCCCTCCCACAGAGAAGGGAAGGAAGTGGATCCAAGGGTCTGGTTGGATGCTTTTCCAGGAAACTCAGAAGTCTCTGTGTTGGAAGGACAGTGTCTATAGCAGCCCTGACACTGAGCTGCCAAAGTCTCAGGCATGGCCAGGATGTCCTGGCCTAGCATACCCATTCTCTCCTGTTGCGTGCATTAAAAAGTGCTGGACTCTATTCCTGGAACTTTAGATTATCACTCCCCACCTTGGCAGCCTCTGCTGCCAACTTAGACCAGTTCCCAAGGACGAGAGGGTGTTTGCTGGAGTGCTGACTCTTGTTTGATGGTCTGCCCACGTCTAACAACCGAGCAGCCTCAGGCTCGACCCAGAGGTCCTCTCTCTCCATGCTTCTGTCAAACATGAGACCATCTTGCAGAGCACATGTTGGGGCCAGCCCTTGCTGACGCTCGACATTCTTCCTACTGTGGCCCAGGCTACCTGCTAAGCAGCTCCAGCTGTTCCCACCCAGGACCAGTACATCCAACTTCTGTCCTCTAGCTTGACAAGTCTCCTGTCAAGAATCTATTCATGTAATCGCCATGTACATTTCCTAAAGGTAGTTTATCTGATTGTCTTTCTATTCCAGAACATTCCTGTTGGCTCTTGTTTTTTTAACCAATTCAATATTCTACAAAGATTTATACGAGGATGGAGAGAAAGGGGGAGAAGAGATGCTAACGTATTCTCCTGAACTAGCTCATGGCATAGCAGAAAAATCATTAAAGGAAAATTGGACACATGATATGCAAGCGTGCATCCATGAGCAATATGGGTGAGGCCAGCATTATGAACCATAATTGGTTCATTCAACAGTGACCCATCAGAATGTTATTTTATGAGTTATTATCATTAATAATTACATTGTTTATTTGCTGCTCTGGAGATAAAACCCAGGGCCTGGCACATGCTTGGCAAATGATCTCCCACGGAAGTACATTTTTTTGGAGACAGAGTTTCACTGTGTAGCCTTGGCTGGCCTAGAGTTCACTATGTACACCAAGCTGGTTTTGAACTTATAGAGATCTGTTGCCTTAGCCTCCCATGTGCTGGCCTTAAAGATGTGTGCCACTCAGTCCCATTTTATTTATTTTAAAATTATATTTATTTATTTATTTATTTATTTAATGTAGATGAGTGCTCTATCTGCATGTACACTTGCACGCCAGGAGAGGGCACCAGATCTCAGTACAGATGGCTGTGAGCCACAGAGTGGTTGCTGGAAATTAAACTCAGAACCTCTGGAAGAACAGGCAGTGCTCTTAACCTCTGAGCCATCTGTCCACCCTCACTCCCTCCCCCATTTTATTTTAAAAAGTGTATTATTCTCATTATTGTAGAGTGACAAGTTAGAATTGAAATTACCTTTCTAATATATACTTATATATAATGTCAACAATTTATTAAGTAATTACTCTACTTTTCCCACAAGAACTTTTTAAAAAGAAATTTTTTCTTTGCAATTTAAAAAAAAAAA